TGTCATCATTGGTGTCAGTGGGAGGAATAGTGCCCCATCATTGGTGTCAGTGGGAGGAATAGTGTCCCATCATTGGTGTCAGTGGGGGGAGGAATAGTGTGCCCCATCATTGGTGTCAGCCCCATCATTGGGGTCAGGGGAGGAATAGTGCCCCATCAATTGGTGTCAGTGGGAGGAATAGTGTACCCCATCATTGGTGTCAGTGGGGGGGAGGAATAGTGCCCCATCATTGGTGTCAGTGGGAGGAATAGTGCCCCATCATTGGTGTCAGTGGGAGGAATAGTGTCCCATCATTGGGTCAGTGGGAGGAATAGTGCCCATCATTGGTGTCAGTGGGGGGAGGAATAGTGCCCCATCATTGGTGTCAGTGGGAGGAATAGTGCCCCATCATTGGGGTCAGTGGGGAATAGTGCCCCATCATTGGTGTATCAGTGGGAGGAATAGTGCCCCATCATTGGTGTCAGTGGGAGGAATAGTGCCCCATCATTGGTGTCAGTGGGAGGAATAGTACCCCATCATTGGGTCAGTGGGAGGAATAGTGCCCCCCATCATTGGTGTCAGTGGGAGGAATAGTGCCCCATCATTGGTGGTGATGAGTGGGGGGAGGAATAGTGTCCCATCATTGGTGTCAGTGGGAGGAATAGTACCCCAATTGGTGTCAGGGAGGAATAGTGCCCCATCATTGGAGGAATAGTGCCCCATCAGTGGTATCAGGGGGAGGAATAGTGCCCCATCATCGTTGGTCAGTGGGAGGAATAGTGCCCCATCATTGGTGTCAGTGGGAGGAATAGTGCCCCATCATTGGTGTCAGTGGGAGGAATAGTGCCCCATCATTGGTGTCAGTGGGAGGAATAGTGCCCCATCATTGGCATCAGTGGGAGGAATAGTGTGCCCCATCATTGGTGTCAGTGGGAGGAATAGTGTCCCATCATTGGTGTCAGTGGGAGGAATAGTGTCCCATCATTGGTGTCAGTGGGAGGAATAGTGCCCCATCATTGGTGTCAGTGGGAGGAATAGTGCCCCATCATTGGTGTCAGTGGGAGGAATAGTGTCCCATCATTGGTGTCAGTGGAGGAATATGTGCCCCATCATTGGTGTCAGTGGGAGGAATAGTGTCCCATCATTGGTGTCAGTGGAAGGAATAGTGTCCCATCATTGGTGTCAGTGGGAGGAATAGTGCCCCATCATTGGTGTCAGTGGGAGGAATAGTGTCCCATCATTGGTGTCAGTGGGAGGAATAGTGTCCCATCATTGGTGTCAGTGGAAGGAATAGTGTCCCATCATTGGTGTCAGTGGGAGGAATAGCGCCCCATCATTGGTGTCAGTGGGGGGAATAGTGCCCCCCATCATTGGTGGTCAGTGGGAGGAATAGTGCCCCATCATTGGTGTCAGTGGGAGGAATAGTGCCCCATCATTGGTATCAGTGGGGGGAATAGTGCCCCATCATTGGTATCAGTGGGAGGAATAGTGCCCCATCATTGGTGTCAGTGGGAGGAATAGTGTCCCATCATTGGTGTCAGTGGGAGGAATAGTGTCCCATCATTGGTGTCAGTGGGAGGAATAGTGTCCCATCATTGGTGTCAGTGGGGGGAATAGTGCCCCATCATTGGTATCAGCGGGGGGAATAGTGCCCCATCATTGGTATCAATGGGAGGAATAGTGCCCCATCATTGGTGTCAGTGGGAGGAATAGTGCCCCATCATTGGTGTCAGTGGGAGGAATAGTACCCCATCATTGGTGTCAGTGGGAGGAATAGTGTCCCATCATTGGTGTCAGTGGGAGGAATAGTGCCCCATCATTGGTGTCAGTGGGAGGAATAGTGCCCCATCATTGGTGTCAGTGGGAGGAATAGTGCCCCATCATTGGTGTCAGTGGGAGGAATAGTGCCCCATCATTGTTATCAGTTGGAGGAATAGTGTCCCATCATTAGTGTCAGTGGGAGGAATAGTGTCCCATCATTGGTGTCAGTGGGAGGAATAGTGCCCCATCATTGGTGTCAGTGGGAGGAATAGTGTCCCATCATTGGTGTCAGTGGGAGGAATAGTGCCCCATCATTGGTGTCAGTGGGAGGAATAGTGTCCCATCATTAGTGTCAGTGGGAGGGAATAGTGTCCCATCATTGGTGTCAGTGGGGGGAATAGTGCCCTATCATTAGTATCAGTGGGAGGGAATAGTCCCCATCATTGGCGTCAGTGGGAGGAATAGTGCCCTGTCATTGGTGTCAGTGGGGGGAGGAATAGTGCCCCATCATTACTATCAGTGGGAGGAATAGTGCCCCATCATTGGTGTCAGTGGGAGGAATAGTGCCCCATCATTGGTGTCAATGGGAGGAATAGTGCCCCATCATTGGTGTCAGTGGGCGGAGGAATAGTGCCCCATCGTTGGTGTCAGTGGGGGGAGGAATAGTGCCCCATCGTTGGTGTCAGTGGGGGGAGGAATAGTGCCCCATCGTTGGTGTCAGTGGGGGGAGGAATAGTGCCCCATTGTTGGTTTCAGTGGGGGGAGGAATAGTGCCCCATCGTTGGTGTCAGTGGGGGGAGGAATAGTGCCCCATCGTTGGTGTCAGTGGGGGAGGAATAGTGCCCCATCGTTGGTGTCAGTGGGGGGAGGAATAGTGCCCCATCGTTGGTGTCAGTGAGGGGAGGAATAGTGTCTCATCGTTGGTGTCAGTGGGGGGAGGAATAGTGTCTCATCGTTGGTGTCAGTGGGGGGAGGAATAGTGTCTCATCGTTGGTGTCAGTGGGGGGAGGAATAGTGCCCCATCGTTGGTATTAGTGACACCAATCATGGGGCACTATCCCTCCCACTGACACCAATCATGGGGCACTATCCCTCCCACTGACACCAATGATACTTACCTTGCTGACTCCTGCTCCAGCCTGGGCTCGCTCTCTCCCTCCCCCATCTACAATCTGCATTCCTGGCTGCAGCAGCAAAATTTGCACTTACCTGTCAGCTGTCTTCCTTCTCTGGCCTCTCTCTTCACTCGTTCCTGCAGCTCCCTCGATCTTCTTCGATCTCCGCGCGCTGCCGCTCGGCTCCTCCTCTCCAAGCTCCACCTTCTCGCCGGTGATTGGCCGCCTGTGTGCCTCTCCTGAGCTACAGTTCCGGTGGCCAATCAGCGGCGAGGAGGCGGTGACAGGGGCAGCATATCATCCCGCCCACACATCGCCGGAGACAGGAGCGGTGTCTGGGTTCCTAAGACCATCGGAAATATGTGTTTTCCGATGGTCTTAGGCGACCCCTGGGAAATGGTCGTTCGACCCCCAAAGGGGCCCCGACCCCCAGGTTGAGAACCGCTGAACTAGAGTACTCTGGCAACACAGGTGAACAGCTGAAGGGATCCAAGATCCGAGGACACATGGGGGCATTGGATCCCTCCAGTGGAACTAGAGTAGTCTGGTAACACAGGTGAACAGCTGAAGGAACCCAAGGCATGAGAATGCAGGGAAGCCTGGGATCCCTGCAGTGGAACTAGAGTACTCTTGTAACACAGGTGAACAGCTGAAGGGATCCAAGGGCTGAGGATTAAAAGGGGCATTGGATCCCTGCAGTGGAACTAGAGTACTCTGGCAACACAGGTGAACAGCTAAAGATACCCAAGGCTTATGGACACGGGGGGGGGGGGTGCATTGGATCCATCCAGTAGAACTAGAGTACTCTGGCAACACAGGTGAACAGCTGAAGGGATCCAAGATCCGAGGACACATGGGGCATTGCATTGGATCCCTCTAGTGGAACTAGAATACTCTGTCAACACAGGTGAACAGCTGAGAGATCCAAAATCCGAGGACACATGGGGCATTGGATCCCTCCAGTGGAACTAGAGTACTCTGGTAACACAGGTGAACAGCTGAAGGGACACAAGGCTTATGGACACAGGGGGGCATTGGATTCCTCCAGTGGAACTAGAGTACTCTTGTAACACAGGTGAACAGCTGAAGGGATCCAAGGTCTGAGGATTAAGAGGGGTATTAGATCCCTCCACTGAAAGTAGAGTACTCCGGTGACACAGGTGATCAGCTGAAGGGATCCAAGGGCTGAGGATGCAGGGAGGCCTGGACCCCTCCAGTGGAGCTAGAGTACTCTAATAACACAGGTGTACTGCTGGAGGGAACAAATGACACGGGGGAGGGGGGTATTGGATTTTTCAAGTGGAACTAGAGTACTCTGATAACACAGGTGAACAGCTGAAGGGATCCAAGGCCTGAGGATGCTGGGAGGCCTTGATCCCTCCAGTGGAACTAGAGTACTCAGATAACAGAGGTGTACTGCTGGAGGGAACCAAGGACATGGGGGAGGGGGGTATTGGATCCTTCAAGTAGAACTAAAGTACTCTGATAACACAGGTGTACTGCTGGAGGGAACCAAGGATATGGGATTGGGGCACCCCGCAGGACCTGGTGTACTCTGGTAGGAATTAGGGAGGGATTACTTATCCTTCCTGGAATACAGGGAGTTGTGTTAAATGAGTTAAAGGGCCCTTCATCTGCTTCTGAGCATGGTGAGTAAATGGCCACTACATTGGAAGTTTCAGTATATGGCAGCAGCTCGCAGGTTGGTGATGAGTTATACCGTATACAATATGGCGGCAGATCATCAGATATCGATGGGGGCGGGGCTATTTGCCATCTACAATGATTAGCCACCAAGAGTAGAGTTATATTTAAGGAGTAATAAATTCAGTTTACGGCAACCATTCCCAACCAGGGTTCCATGAAACCCCCCCGAAGTTCCTCCTGAAATGTCTAGGAGTTTCTGAAACTGAGGCCGATTCACCTTCCATCTGGTGCCTGCAGAGTCCCGGGTGCAATGCAATTGGCAAAACCAGCGGCATGACGTCAGTGATCTTTTTAGCTATCTGTAACGATGGCATTTTTACCACCACTGTAAGGGGAGCATTGTTCCCACTGACCCCCAATGTAAGGGTAGCATTGTTCCCACTGACCCCCAATGTAAGGGACATTCTTCCCACTGACCCCCCAATGTAAGAGACATTCTTCCCACTGACCACCAATGTAAGGGACATTCTTCCCACTGACCACCAATGTAAGGGACATTCTTCCCACTGACCACCAATGTAAGGAACATTCTTCCCACCGACCCCCAATGTAAGGGACATTCTTCCCACCGACCCCCAATGTAAGGGACATTCTTCCCACTGACCCCCAATGTAAGGGACATTCTTCCCACCGACCCCCAATGTAAGGGACATTCTTCCCACTGACCCCCAATGTAAGGGACATTCTTCCCACTGACCACCAATGTAAGGGGCATTCTTCCCACTGACCCCCAATGTAAGGGAAATTCTTCCCACTGACCCCCAATGTAAGGGACATTCTTCCCACTGATCCCCAATGTAAGGGACAGTCTTCCCACTGATCCCCCAATGTAAGGGACATTCTTCCCACTGACCTCCAATGTAAGGGACAGTCTTCCCACTGACCTCCAATGTAAGGGACATTCTTCCCACTGACCCCCAATGTAAGGGATATTCTTCCCACTGACCCCCAATGTAAGGGACAGTCTTCCCACTGACCTCCAATGTAAGGGACATTCTTCCTACTGACCCCCAATGTAAGGGACATTCTTCCCACTGACCCCCAATGTAAGGGACAGTCTTCCCACTGACCTCCAATGTAAGGGACATTCTTCCCACTGACCCCCAATGTAAGGGACATTCTTCCCACTGACCTCCAATGTAAGGGACATTCTTCCCACTGACCACCAATGTAAGGGACATTCTTCCCACTGACCCCCAATGTAAGGGACATTCTTCCCACTGACCCCCAATGTAAGGGACATTCTTCCCACTGACCCCCCCCCAATGTAAGGGACATTCTTCCCACTGACCCCCCAATGTAAGGGACATTCTTCCCACTGACCCCCCAATGTAAGGGACCTTCTTCCCACTGACCCCCCAATGTAAGGGACGTTCTTCCCACTGACCTCCAATGTAAGGGACGTTCTTCCCACTGACCCCCAATGTAAGGGACATTCTTCCCACTGACCTCCAATGTAAGGGACGTTCTTCCCACTGACCCCCAATGTAAGGGACCTTCTTCCCACTGACCCCCCAATGTAAGGGACGTTCTTCCCACTGACCTCCAATGTAAGGGACATTCTTCCCACCGACCCCCAATGTAAGGGACATTCTTCCCACTGACCCCCCAATGTAAGGAGCATTCTTCCCACTGACCCCCCAATGTAAGGGACATTCTTCCCACTGACCCCCCAATGTAAGGAGCATTCTTCCCACTGACCCCCCAATGTAAGGGACTTTCTTCCCACTGACCCCCAATGTAAGGAGCATTCTTCCAACTGACCCCCAATGTAAGGGACATTCTTCCCACTGACCCCCAATGTAAGGGACATTCTTCCCACTGACCCCCAATGTAAGGGACATTCTTCCCACTGACCTCCAATGTAAGTGGCATTCCTCTCACTGACCCCCCCAATGTAAGGGACATTCTTCCCACTGACCCCCAATGTAAGGGACATTCTTCCCACTGACCCCCCAATGTAAGGGACCTTCTTCCCACTGACCCCCAATGTAAGGGACCTTCTTCCCACTGACCCCCAATGTAAGGGACCTTCTTCCCACTGACCTCCAATGTAAGGGATGTTCTTCCCACTGACCCCCAATGTAAGGGACATTCTTCCCACTGACCCCCAATGTAAGGGACGTTCTTCCCACTGACCCCCAATGTAAGGGACATTCTTCCCACTGACCCCCAATGTAAGGGACATTCTTCCCACTGACCCCCAATGTAAGGGACATTCTTCCCACTGATCAGCAATGTAAGGGACATTCTTCCCACTGATCACCAATGTAAGGGACATTCTTCCCACTGACCACCAATGTAAGGGACATTCTTCCCACTGACCCCCAATGTAAGGGACATTCTTCCCACTGACCCCCAATGTAAGGGACATTCTTCCCACTGACCCCCAATGTAAGGGACATTCCTCCCACTGACCCCCAATGTAAGGGACATTCTTCCCACTGACCCCCAATGTAAGGGACATTCTTCCCACTGACCCCCAATGTAAGGGACATTCTTCCCACTGACCCCCAATGTAAGGGACATTCTTCCCACTGACCCCCAATGTAAGGGACATTCTTCCCACTGACCCCCCCAATGTAAGGGACATTCTTCCCACTGACCCCCAATGTAAGGGACAATCTTCCCACTGACCCCCAATGTAAGGGACATTCTTCCCACTGACCTCCAATGTAAGGGGCATTCTTCCCACTGACCTCCAATGTAAGTGGCATTCTTCTCACTGACCCCCAATGTATGGGACATTCTTCTCACTGACCCCCCCAATGTAAGGGGCATTCTTCCCACTGACCCCCAATGTAAGGGACATTCTTCCCACTGACCCCCCAATGTAAGGGACCTTCTTCTCACTGACCCCCAATGTAAGGGACGTTCTTCCCACTGACCTCCAATGTAAGGGACGTTCTTCCCACTGACCCCCAATGTAAGGGACGTTCTTCCCACTGACCCCCAATGTAAGGGACATTCTTCCCACTGACCCCCAATGTAAGGGACATTCTTCCCACTGACCCCCAATGTAAGGGACATTCTTCCCACTGATCAGCAATGTAAGGGACATTCTTCTCACTGACCCCCAATGTAAGGGACATTCTTCCCACTGATCACCAATGTAAGGGACATTCTTCCCACTGACCCCCAATGTAAGGGACATTCTTCCCACTGACCACCAATGTAAGGGACATTCTTCCCACTGACCCCCAATGTAAGGGACATTCTTCCCACTGACCACCAATGTAAGGGACATTCTTCCCACTGACCACCAATGTAAGGGACATTCTTCCCACTGACCCCCAATGTAAGGGACATTCTTCCCACTGACCCCCAATGTAAGGGACATTCTTCCCACTGACCACCAATGTAAGGGACATTCTTCCCTTAGTTAAATGGACTGCCAATGCACGGCAAGGGCCGAAAAGAAACCTTGTTGGGCACTGTGGCACAGTTGGGTTGTAAGCTACCTTACCTGTGTGTTGGCTTCTCATCTTAAATAATTGGTGCTGCAACACGTTACAAAGAGCCGCGTGTTCTATTTTGTTGCAGTAGCATGTGATTATGTGCATTTATTACTGCATTTTACCACAGCGCGTTAGTGTGAAGACCACTTGAAGCAGGCCAGTACTGACGCCAACCTAACCCTAACCATGTAGGTGGTCTGGTGGTCAGTTCCTTGAGCTGATCTTCCAAGAAGAGGAGTCTGAGGAACTGGATTGTAAAATATCCAGCAGTAGTAGTACTGGGTCAAGTTCTGCCGGACTTGATCTGTAATGTTGACGTTTTGTAGCATCTCCAGGCCACTTCTTCTTCACTCCTTTAGTGGCTTGGACAAGCTACGAAAAGTCTCCAACATACTGTGACCTGAATAAAGGAGAATCTTTATGAATGGATTGTGAGATATCCAGTAGTAGTAGTTGGTCACATTCTGCCGGACATTTTCTGTAATTTTGAAGATGTTTTAAAGCTTCTCCAGGCCACTTCTTTTTCTTCACTCAGTATTTTGGACAAGCTACAAAATGTCTTTACCATACCATGACCTGAAAATAGGAGGACCTTCATGGATGGATTGTAAATTATGCGGTAGAAGTAGTTGGTCACATTCTGCTTGACTTTTTCTGCTTGGACAAGCTTCGAAACAACTCCAGAACCTTCAGGGATGGATTGTAAAATATATTCAGTAACAGAAAATCATATTCTACTAGACTTGCTCTGTGATGTTGAAGATGATTTGTAGCTTCTCCAAGCCACTTCTTCAGTGGCTTATACAAGCTACAAAACGTCTCCAACATATCATGACCTGAATGAAGGAGAACATTTATGGATGGATTGTGAAATATCCAGTAGTAGAAGTTGGTTGCATTCTACTGGATTTGTTCTGTAATGTTGAAGATGTTTTATAGCTTCTTCTTAACTTATTCAGTGGCTTAGACAAGCTACGAAATGTCTCCAACATACCATGGCCTGAAAATAGGAGAATGTTTTATAACGTTTCCAGACCACTTCTTCAGTGGCTTGGACAAGCTTCGAAACATCTCCAGAACCTTCAGGGATGGATTGTAAAATATATCCAGTAATAGAAAGTCATATTCTACTAGACATGTTCTGTGATGCTGGAGATGTTTTGTAGCCTCTTCAGGCCACTTTTTCAGCAGCTTGGACAAGCTATGAAACATTCCCAAGATACCATGACCTGAATAAAAGAAGAACCTTCATGGATGGGTTGTGAAATATCCAGTAGTACTAGTTGGTCACATTCTACTGGACTTGTTCTGTAATTTTGAAGATGTTTTAAAGCTTCTCCAGGCCACTTCTTTTACTTCTTCTTTCACAACCCATACATAAAGGTTCTCCTTTTATTCAGGTCAAGGTATGTTGGAGGCTTTTTGCAGCTTGTCTAAGTCACTGACGAAGAAGAAGTGGCTTGGAGAAGCTACAAAACATCTTCAGCATTACAGAACAAGTCCAACAGAATGTGACCCACTACTACTACTGGATACTTCACAACCCAGCCATAAAAGTTCTCCTTTTATTCAGGTCAAGGTATGTTGGAGACGTTTTGCAGCTTGTCCAAGTCACTGAAGAAGAAAACGCGGCCTGAAGAAGCTAGAAAACATCTTCAACATCACAGAACAAGTCCAACAGAATGTGACCCACTACTACTGGATAATTAACAATCCATCCATTCAGGTTCTCCTTTATTCAGGTCATGGTATCTTGGGAACGTTTCATAGCTTGTCCAAGCTGCTGAAGAAGTGGCATGAAGAGGCTTGGACAAGCTGAAAAACATCTCCAACATACCTTGACCTGAATAAAATAACTTTTACGGCTGGGTTGTGAAATATCCAGTAGTAGTAGTGGGTTACATTCTGTTGGACTTGTTCTGTAATGCTGAAGATGTTTTGTAGCCACTCCAAGCCACTTCTTCTTCTTCAGTGACTTAGACAAGCTGCAAAACGTCTCCAACATACCTTGACCTGAATAAAAGGAGAACTTTTATGGCTGGGTTGTGAAATATCCAGTAGTAGTTGGTCACATTTTACTGGACTTGTTCTGTAATACTGGAGATGTTTCATAGCTTCTCCAAACCACTTCTTTTTCACTTCTTCTGTGACTTGGACAAGTTGTGAAACATCCCCAACATACCATGACCTGAATAAAAGGAGAACCTTCATGAATGGATTGTGAAATATCCAGCAGTGCTAGAAGGTCACATTCTTCTGGACTTGTTGTTTAATGTTGATGTTTCGTAGCTTCCTCAAGTCACTTCTTCACTTCAGTGGCTTGGGCAAGCTACAAAACGTCTCCAACATACCTTGACCTGAATAAAATAACTTTTATGGCTGGGTTGTGAAATATCCAGTAGTAGTAGTGGGTTACATTCTGTTGGACTTGTTCTGTAATGCTGAAGATGTTTTGTAGCTTCTCCAAGCCACTTCTTCTTCTTCAGTGACTTAGACAAGCTGCAAAACGTCTCCAACATACCTTGACCTGAATAAAAGGAGAACCTTTATGGATGGGTTGTGAAATATCCAGTAGTACTAGATGGTCACATTTGACTGGACTTGTTTTGTAATGTCGAAAATGTTTTGTAGCTTCCCAAAGCCACTTCTTCTTCTTCACTTCTTCAATGGATTGGACAAAATACGAAATGTCTCCAACATACCTTACCCTGAAAATAGGAGAATCTTCATGGATGGATTGTGAAATATCCAGTAGTAGTAATTGGTCACATTCTGCTGGACTTGTTTTGTAATGTTAAAAATGTTTCATAACTTCTCCAGAGCACTTCTTCTTCAGTGACTTGAACAAGCTTCTTTTTCTTCTTCTTCACTTATTCAGTGGCTTAGACAAGCTGCGAAATGTCTCCAGCATACCATGGCCTGAAAATAGGAGAATGTTTTATAACGTTTCCAGACCACTTCTTCAGTGGCTTGGACAAGCTTCGAAATATCTCCAGAACCTTCAGGGATGGGTTGTAAAATATATCCAGTAATAGAAAGTCATATTCTACTAGACTTGTTCTGTGATGCTGGAGATGTTTTGTAGCCTCTTCAGGCCACTTCTTCAGAAGCTTGGACAAGCTATGAAACGTTCCCAAGATACCATGACCTGAATAAAGGAGAACCTTCATGGATGGGTTGTGAAGTATCCAGTAATACTAGTTGGTCACATTCTGCTGGATTTTTTCTGTAATTTTGAAGATGTTTTATAGCTTCTCCAAGCAACTTCTTTTTCTTCACTTCTTCGGTATTTTGGACAAGCTACCAAATGTCTTCAACATACCATGAGCTGAAAATAGGAGGACCTTCATGGATGGATTGTTAATTATCCAGTAGTAGTGGGTCAAATTCTGCTGGATTTGTTCTGTGATTGTCAGGGATCCCGGTCTTCGCCGCGGTGCGTGAATTCACGCATGCGCGGATCGCCTAGGCGCATCAGCAGTCGGGCAGTAGGACCTGGGCGTCCACGGCGGCAATTGCGGCCACGCATGCGCACTCGCGCACACGCGCGTGCCCTGGCACCAATGACGGTGCAGGGCGCGCTACTTAAACCGGCCAGGCAATGTCCTCTTTGCCGCAAGGTCTTGTTCCTGTTCCTGTGTTCCTGTTAGTACGTTTCCTTGTTGCCAAACTCTGCCTGATCTGATTTATGCTGATCCTCTCCTGCTCTGACCCCGGCTTGTCCCTGACCATTCCTCTGCCTATAGTTACTATTGTTTTGGACCCTCTGTTACTGAACCCGGCGTGTGACCTGACTACTCTTTGCCTGCTGCTTGGTACCGCACCTGTCCCCACTGTTACCGACCCGGCTAGTATGACCTCGCTCACTCCTAGCAGTCATCCATCCATCCCACTCGGATCGGGACCTGTCAGCCCCTTCACAGCAGGCTCATCCCGGGCACATACCCTCAGCGGGACCCCTCTACCATCGCCGGGGGTGCCCAGGGGCGCGACCTGGTTCCAGTCTTGCACCAAGTCCATCCCCACCATCAGGGGCTCTGGTGAAAAGGCAGACTGGGACTTAGACTCCGCGTCCTGGGAAATCCCGTGCTGTGGACCACTAGAGATCCCGTTGGGCGGAGCCTGACAGTGATGTTGAAGATGTTTTCTAGCTTCTTGAGGCCGCGTCTTCTTCAGTGACTAGGTGACTGCAAAACGTCTCCAACATACCTTGACCTGAATAAAAGGAGAACTTTTATGGCTGGGTTGTGAAATATCCAGTAGTAGTTGGTCACATTTTACTGGACTTGTTCTGTAATACTGGAGATGTTTCATAGCTTCTCCAAACCACTTCTTTTTCACTTCTTCTGTGACTTGGACAAGTTGTGAAACATCCCCAACATACCATGACCTGAATAAAAGGAGAACCTTCATGAATGGATTGTGAAATATCCAGCAGTGCTAGAAGGTCACATTCTTCTGGACTTGTTGTGTAATGTTGATGTTTCGTAGCTTCCTCAAGTCACTTCTTCACTTCAGTGGCTTGGGCAAGCTACAAAACGTCTCCAACATAACTTGACCTGAATAAAGGAGAACCATCATGGGTGGATTGTGAATTATCCAGTAGTAGTAGTGGGTCAAATTCTGTCGGACTTGTTCTGTAATGTTGAAGATGTTTCCTAGCTTCTCCAGGACACTTCTTCTATTCCAGTGGTTTGGACAAGCCATGAAAAGTCACCAACATACTGTGACCTGAAAAAAGGAGATGGATGGATTGTGAAATATCCAGTAGTAGTAGTTGGTCACATTCTGCTGGACTTTTTCTGTAATTTTGAAGATGT